CCAAAACCATGCTGCAAGCACGAGTATTTGGTCTTAATACTGAACTACTTGAATGGCGTATCAACAAACCTTGGTTTTCCAAACTATATATCCCTAGCTTGTATATATATCGTTTCTGTACGTAGCCAAAAATATTTATTCGTGAACTAATTCTTGGCACCCTCTCATAACTTCACAAATGCTTGCATCTCTTAGTAATTTAAGAAACTGAACTTAAAAAATGAAGGTCAAGATTCTATATCAATTTGTATATGAAACCGAGATAATTACCTTTCAAAAAATTAAAAACCCATAAAAACCCTAAACTACGAATCATGAGGCAGAAACTTGAACACAAGTCCTAATTGAGTGCCTAATACCAATCATCACAATTTGATTAGGGGACAGATTGCTAATTAAAGCAGTAATTATCTAAGAAATTATAGACAAAAAATAAAAAGTTGAGTGATCAATAATTGAAAGCCAGATACCTGAACCAAGGAGGAGGCAGTGCTGCTTAATTAAGTACACATCAATCTGCATCCAATACACTCAATCCGTGTGGAAAGACGAAAGAGGAACACAAAAGTTGGACAAGGTCAGTTTTGTGCCAAACTTGGTGCACATGTCATGTGGTAGTGGTCAGTTCTGGTTTTTGTTTGTACAGATTAATGACATGATAGTCATGTTTTCAAGGTCCCTTGATCTCAAACCTCTACCAACCAAGCTTCCAAGTATCAACGGTGCATCCTGGCTGGTGAATTCTACCCTTACACAATGAATTTGGACGAAGGAAAATAAAGGAAAGGGAAAGAAAAACGGTTTAGATTGGTTTGGTTGAAATGTAGGTCAAATTAAAAATGGTTGATTTTCAAGGTTTTGTGAGTTGTTTGGAATTGCGTATGAGAGTGAATAACTAAAAGCACTTCTAATCTGCATTTGACAAAATCATTTTGAATCATATAAGCATTTGCCGGAGGATCACATGTCATATGTTTTTTCCAGAAGCACTTGAATTACGAATAAAAATTTCAAACACTTCTAGCAAAACATTTGTGCAAAACTGCTTCATAGAGAAACAATCACAAACGAGCTCAGTTACATAGATAAAGTGAACCTACACTCGAGCAAGAGAATATATAGCCGTTCTGGTTAAGAGTATTCACTTTTAGTCTCATCTACACAAAAGTCTTGTGTTTGTATCAAGGGGTGTGATATCCGCACACCCCATTTTACTTCTCACACACCCTTCTAATTTTCGGCCGTCGGATCGGATGAATTGAAGAAGATCAACGTATATAAATTAATAAGGGTGTGTGAGAAGTAATTTGGGATGTGTGGATAGCACACCCCTTGTATCAATTTAAAGAAAATATAGCTTAAGAAGTAATTAGGCAAATACCGATTTAACGAAATCCATAATCGCTCTCAAATATCTTCGTCAGGTTTGAGGTCAATAATAACGTTTTCCTTCTCCGTACGTATGCAATGATGTGGGATATTTGATTATTGTGTGTCTAAGAATTATATGAAGATTTTATTTATAATATTTGAAGAGTGATGTTATTCACACATTCATTTTTATTTGTTACACGATCTTCTTAATTTTTAGGTGTCCAATCAAATAAATTGAAAAAAATTAATTAACAAAAATATGAGAAATAAAAAGAAATATATAAAATAACACTGCCTATTTAAACTTTGAATAATATCCTCAAACACAAATGCCTTCTGATTTGATATTTCCAATCACAATTTTTGGTAAAAGGTCATCACACTCATTGTCTCCCTTGCGTCTGGACCACATCTCCTCTCTTGGGAATGAGGATCCTCTTTGTGAGCAGTGGCGAAACCAGAATTTATTAATGGGAGGGGTAAAATTAAAAAGAGTGCAAGGTTCAATCGAAACGGTTACTTTTATATTGGATAGTGTAAAGTTTTGAGTCAATATTCATACCAGAAAATAGTCTTTCCACCAAAACAATTGTAAGCGGTAATATTAAAGTCAATGTAATAAGCTTAAATTGACTAGAATTCGATTATAAAAAAAGGCGCTAGTCAAGTAGTGGACTAGAGCCTAGTGTCTAGGCACCTAGGTGAGATCTAGGCAAGAGCCTAGATGGAATTAAATGAATTTTTTTTATCGTAAAATAAGCATTAAATAATATTTACATTATTTTTTAAAAAGTAATACAATATTTTATAGATAATATAAGAGTTTAAGATAAATATAGTAGTAAGAGTCTTAAAAGAAGAAGAAAAAAGACAATACTTGAGTACTCACCATTTAGTACCAATTTTACTCACTAGACTTTGAGGCCCAATAAAATTACGACAGCTATCATTCTTAACTCTCTAACCAAACAACAACAGATCTACTATTCTAGTAACCAAACACTTTAGAGCCACGTTTATTAATCCGTAATCAAATTGAGGGAACTGAATTGAGGAAGAATCATATTAAGGAGGAAATGGATTGAGAATGAAACATAATTAGATTCCCGTTAAAGTTATTTACTAACTAATTGGAATCGGAATACAAATTATATTAGTTCCAAATATATTGTATACTAGTTCACTATAATCAGAATTAAAACCAACTTGATTACTAAATTGTCCTTATTTAAATAAATTATTTTTATTATTATAATTATTGAAAATTAAGTTTATCTAATTAAATATATCCATAAACAAAGCTTTTTATGAGATCATTATTTCCAAAACTTTTTATCATTATTTCCAAAACTTTTTATAAGATCGTTATTTCCAAAGCCACTTCTCCCCTTTCATCCCAAGCCTTTTTTATCCCAGCTCCTTTATCCCTATAGCCACCATCACATAGCTCAGCAAGTCCTGGTCCAGCGACGAGCGGAGTTGTTGACGAAAGCAGTCTCGATCCTGGTCCACTACATCGAGTAGAAGCATAGATGATCGGATTCCGCAGTGAAATTCCAAAAGTGAAAGTCGTTGGGGTGGCATGGATGGGTGTGTGGATGATCTGGGTTGTTTGGGTGTCATTCCTGGAGGTACACGTCTGGTTTCTTATTTTGGGGTGAGATTTGAGTGCGGCAAGGTGATGGATGAAGGGTGTTATTGGGGTTTCAAAATATGTAAAAAATAAATAAATAAATTAAAAAAACCCAACTCTGCTGCAAAAACCAGATCATCGGAACGAGAATTCTCATTTTCGATGAGAGCGAAGGGGCTGAACCAGCGCTCCTATGTGTGTTTTCAGGCGAGGGGAGGGACGACGACCACTCCTAACCCTCACGTAGCTTCATCACTGTTTGTGAGGATTTCGGAAATCCTTAAATCATGTTCATTCATTGTACATTATGCAGTCAAGATTCGTCAAATACTATTCATATTTAATTTTAAATAAAAGTATTTAAAATAGTTTTTAATCGTACGATATATGATAAACAGATATGATTCGAAGATAGCCAAGATTCTCACAAAAATGATCCGGAGAGGATCCTCATTCCTTCCCCTCTCGGAACCTGCAAATTCTTTTGGGTTGGAAGGGTAGGTGCCCTAACGACTGAACATATACGAGCTATATACAATTACAAGGTAGAAATGTCTACATCCAACCCAACAGTTTTTGCTGGCTAATCAAAAAGTCTTATTCCTTTCTTTTCCAAATTTTTTCCCCATTCAAGTCTTATTCTATATTTGTGGCCTAGAATTTAGTACATCGTTTTTGTGTTGCAAGTATTGGTGCTTAACATTTAAACCCATTGACCAGTGTTCTAGGAATATTTTTGGAACACCGCTTGGTTAATTTAAGGATGAGAAGAATTCATCTTCAAAAAATGCTTAGTAACCGATTTATAGGACTTTGTTTTATGATCGGCAATGTTGATTCGTACTTATGATCATAAGTGTTGATATTGTAAATCAACTAAAACAAAAATTGTTTAGCAATCAATTGTAGCAAATATATAGAAAGCTCGTAATACTTTTACCAATTATGACCATATGTTTTTACACTGACCAATCGATCTCATACATTATTGATTTTTGTAAAGATGATCTTTACATAATGATTTATAATATGGATTGTTTCAATCATTAACACAACGTCTTATGAATTGATTACGAAGTGGTATAAGTAGGAACACCTCCTAGTCATTTCAGGAGCAAAATGTTATTCATATTTTTGTTCACTTTGTTGAAAGATATCTCAATTCGAATCTCCCTCCTAGATAAAACAATTTAACCAGAATTTAGTGGAAGTTTAAAGATAATTAGTAATACCATTTTTATGGTGTAGATAATGCTAAGGAGACCAAATTTGTAGACTAAATTTATAAACTAAATAGTGTATCGCCATTAGGAAATAAGCACGTTTATCAATACTTAAGTAATAAATCAATCGTCAACTTCCATATAATTTAGTCTCCCTAGCATTACCCTAAATATATTGAGTTTGAACCTGTTAAAAAGTCGTTCTACATTCTTTCATAGTGTTTTTTTTTCTCCTAGATTTTTCATGAGGTAGAATTGCAGGTTGACTATTTTAGAGTGCTTAGTCATGAATAGCCAAGAAAAAAAAAACACAACACCTCAATGTTTTGTCTAGACTTAAACTCATTGTTGTCATCATTGAGCACAACCGTATAATGGTAATTTTTTTCATTTTTAAGTTGGAGCTCTTAGGTTTTAACTCTCATATATGACAAGTTCGATACTAAATTATTATGTCTACGTCATCAAAATCATCTAAAATGAACAACAAAGACTTGATCCAACAAAAACCGTTATTAATTACTTATTTTGACATATCAAGTGTAGTTCAAAACTTTACCATATATCAAATTGTCACATAAATCATCAAATTTAAATTTTAATATTTGACGTTTGACATCTCCTCTATAACAGTGTGCTTCTCCATTTACGGCCAAGTTCAAATCCTCACCCCGTTTAGGCCCAAAACAAAAACGGCCATTCGAGGTAGGATTCAAGGGCCCAAAAAATGTTAAACTAAGCAAAGACGTCTTATTTTGTTCACTCACACTTTCCACTTTTTTCAGTGTCCATGGCCACAATCAAATGCGCTTTGAAACCATAGCTATTCACTCGATTTCTCCAAGCTTTTGAATTCTAACACCCCGAACCCCCTCTTCTCTCTCTCTCTCTCTCTCCATATTTTCACCTTGCTGCTTCCGCAATATAGGTGCAGCAAACCTGGTTAGTATTTTCTCATACTTTAATTTACTCTCTCAGAAATTTCTGTTTTGATTTCTCACATTTTGTCCCTTTATTTCTACTTATTTTACTTTGCAGTTTATTGGGTTTTCGTTTTTCTCTTCGTTTTGGCTTTCAGGAATTCATAGGAACTTCTGCAAGTGTGAGATCAAGTGTACCAAATTCATTGAGTGCATGGTCCAAGGAAGTATAGAAACACAGGTGAGTTTTTTACTTACTTTTGGGGGTTGAATTGGACTATATTTTGGTATACAATTTCTGCATTTGCAAATTTGCTCTTAGATGAGAAAAAAAATTGAATCTTTTGCTTGGTGGTCACTTTTTGGTGGATATATACTAGCCAAGGTTACCAAATGCTTCATTTGAGGTCAATGTGTTAGAATCATAGTAATTTGTGCCTTATGGTTGTTAGAATCATAGTAATTTGTGCCTTATGGTTGTTTGACATTCTATTCCTGAGTTAAATTGATGACTTGGTAACAACGATATATTTTGTTTATGGGTTGACGTGGAAGCAACATTTGCACTACATGGACTAAAAATAATCATTATGGAGCTTCGAGTTCTCCCAAAATGACAAACAGTTTGTACAATTTGGTCGCAATGGTCCAAGTGTGGCTTTTGCACAGCCTAGAAGCGGGTTCCACATTTGCCAAGTTATCAATCTAATGACGGGTGAGACAGACAAATGGACAACAAGCTTAAAGTGATACAATTTCAAAACCTTATACTGCAATGTGAGAAAATTAAAACCTTGTTGGCCCATTTTAAAATTCGCAATATATACAGACGTGTAAAATGTAGTTATCCCAAAAAGAATTTGTGTTTTGTTCATTTGATTTAGTAGTTTTTTTCCCCCTTGCATGCACAAATTATTCGTGTTTATGGGATATATTTTGTTTTATAGTTGTAATTTAAATAACGAGAAGAATCCCTTTTCCCTTTTTCTGTGGGAAGTGTTTGGAGCTGCATCTAAAATATGGTTTGCATTTTGCAGCATGTTGAGGCCCTTTTCAGGGCCCTTGTGGTGTTAGCAAGAAAAAATTGAGGGTCCACGAGATATGCCTTAAAAGTGGCCCAAACCTTGGTAATCAATTTCTTTCCTCTTTTAATTTCGATCCGAGTGGTTAGGATACCATATCTAAACACATTTACTACACAATTAAGCCACGTTCATTACAACTCATTTGCCTTTCGTGAGCTCATTTTAAGATATGTAGAAAGCCTCCCCTGGTGTCAGACTCAGTGGTGGGCATTATTAACAAATTTTTCCCAGATGTCTGTTGTCTTTTTTATCTGTTACTTTTCCAATGTGAGATGCATGGGACTGTTAGATGAAATTTTCTAGAGTTTATTATTTCTTTATAGTCTTTAGGACTGACAACAATCGTATACGGTATCTTTCATTTATTGACTACGACTTCTCACACGATCATGTTAAATTTTCATTATTTTTTGTTAGTATGGTCTGGTTCAGTAGATATCCGACGAATAGCACATAAAGAGTTTATTTTGTAGGACGTCACTAGTTATGATCTTCCTTTCTATAGGGGCTGTAGCATCAGAGGTTCGATCATATTCATTGACATGTATGAGTTTGTGTTTTACCTTCATGACATGTATGAGTTTGTGTTTTACCTTCATACTTTTGCATTTTTGCCCAATTCTAGATTCTGCAGTAGTATAAGGCAGATAGGGGGTGCAATGAGAGGTGCAGGTGCTGAGCAACTTTCAGTGCTAGTAAGATCTGTGGTTGCAAAACAAGAAAGAATGTGCTTCGCTTTTTTTATGCACTCGGATACAAGTTGGACCATGAGCTGCTAAGGGTGAGATTTTCCTTCCATTTCCATTTCCAGAAGGGCACGCAGATCAGTGTGACCGTGTCATCAGTTAATAAGATGCTACAACTGGAAACTATACTGATGTTGAAGTAACAGCTCCTGCTACATCTGAAAACTGTACTGATGTTGTTGCCGTAGTATCATCTTTTTGTGAATATCTTGCACTCCCCCCCCCTCTCTCTTCTCCAGCTACGGCATAAGTTTTTTCCTTGTATATCTCATGGCTAGGTGTCCCAACTGTCTCCTCTTGAAAACCAAATAGAATGGTCCGTTTGTGTCTGGTTTATTTATTGGCTGGACAACCTCTACCTTCTCTTATTCATAAATAAGAGCTGATTGGTTGGGTTGATCGCAGTCATAACTGCCCAAGCGATCCAAATTGACCATTTCTTGCACATTGGTTGATCATATTATAAGAGATGAGACTACATGAGAGTGCATATTATTTGCATAAACCTGATAATTGTTGGTCCTTAACCATGATTAGGCAAACTGATTTTAAGGTTTATGATGCACATGATGAAAATTTGTTTACTTGACTCATACACCTGGAATTGATTTCTCAGGCTCCTGCATTTGTCAAAACCGGGTATTTCAACTGGGGTTGTTCCTACTGCTGCTGCGGCTGCTGCATCTCTTTTATCAGATGGTGGGGGTACGACCTTATAAGTAGAGGTTGTATTTTGCTTTGATTTTAGTATCTCATGTCAATGGTGAATGATATATCATTTATGGTAATCAGAACTGCTTGTCAAACTTCGTATTAACTCGCAAGTAGTTTCTCTTTCGGATTACTAAAACTTCAGATAGTTATGGTCAATGGCAATCATAGGTCTTTTCTTTCAGTAATTAGGCATCTATTGAGTACTGAATAAAACATGTAGCATTTGCTAGATAGAGGACCAAAGGATAGACTGACTAAGTTAGCTCTAGGTCATTAGGAGGGTTGGTGGTGAGTGAGTAGGCACTGGTGGTGATTACTAAGTACTAATTACCCTAGTTTGTAGGGAGGGTTTGGCTAAATCACTTAATAATTTGTTAATGGTTGTGGGTCGTTCATCGTTCTATATGCAGATCTGAACGGTTGAGATGGACCTTTGGTCCAATATAATTAGAAAGGAATGCTTAAGATAAGCATATGGCTCTAAGGTAATGTAACTAGCAAGATTTATGTTTTTGTGTCTTCTCTTATCTTTCGGTCAATCATGTTTGAACTCTCAAGGGCCTGTGGCCATCAAGGTTTCCAGAATAAATACAAGGTGAAGGTATACTGGGGAGAAGGGGTCGGGATTAGAACCTCAAGTGTAGAAGTAAATACTTAAAACTACTTTGTCAAGAGTGATTACGTTCGTGCATTGCTTATTATTCTCTTTTCCTTTTCTAGGTGAGTAGCATCCCAGATCGAGTTCCAATAATTCCTACAATGAAGGATGTAAAACACGTTGGGTGATGCTAGGGAGACCAAATTTTTTATACTAAATTTGCAAACCAAATGATGTGGTTATAGATGTTGAATTTTTAATTAAGTGTGGATTAACATGCTTGTTTCTTATTGGTGATACATTATTTGATTTAAAGTTTTGGTCTCTGTAGTAGATTTACACAGACCATACACTGATCAGAGCAATGAATAAGTGCCGTGTACTATTAACAAATAGAATTTTCTACGCTGTTCCATAATATGGGATACTTCAGATATTTGAACTATTATATCTTTATTTTAAAATACAAAAATTAAGCGGAATATCGCCATTGAATTTTAGGAAACAAAGAGCCATCCTTTCCATGCTTTGTTTAGAATTTAGACACAAAAATGTTATTTATCATGATTGCCATGACGTAACAAACGTCTTTAACATGATTACGATGACATCAAAAACTTGGAGTGGTGTACAACCATGGGATAGGTTAGGTGGTGGTGCTGAAGTTTATTTCTTTCAGTTGGGAAAAATGGTGGGAGGAAGAAACCTAATCAACCTTACATTTCTATGTTGCTTTGACAATCATGAGTCCATGACCAACTTAAATATAATTAATATATGATAGCCTTCAACAACCAAAAAAGTTATAAATAACCGGGTTGCTTCTACTAAGAATGTTCTTCACTTATATGCAACAAGATGTCATTATGGTGTTCAAAGCCAATGATATATTGCTATGGAGGAGGGAGATTTCAATGAACGAGCTCACCACCAGTCCATCACTATCCCTAGCCATTAATACAAGGTCATGTGTAAGACTGTCTCCACATGGCCTTGTACTAATGGCTTAGGACACCACAAAGGCAGTAGTGAGAAGTTAAAACGCATGTCACCTTAGATATTGCTATGTGCTTAGACACACTGGCACTGGCACCTTCCCAGGTCATTAATACAAGGCCATCTATAAGGCTCTCTCCACATGTACAAGCTAATGACTCAGAACGCAACGAAGGCAGTTGTGAGAAGTTAAAACACATGTCAGTGTGTGATTTTTTCTTGATTGGCTTTTAGTAAAGAACCATCAAATTTATCAAACATGTGATTGCTTAAGCCTAAAATAGCAGATTTGTCAAATATCTAACCATGCAAGGTAAATTTGACACAAATCTATCGAAAACTAGGGAGAAGATAAAACCTTGCATAAGACTAGGAAGCAAGCACTCTTCACATGAATACGAAGGACAAGGAGGACAGGAGTTTCTAGAATCCCTCTTGTTGATAAAAAATAAATAAATTAGACATCGTCAGCTAGTGATTGTCTTAAGAAAGTGAGAAATGCACAACTTTGCAAACATATTTTGCGACATTGCCAAGATCATGGGTTGCCATGTTTTCTTGAGTAACAGTAACACCGTATGATAGGATGGGTGATGTGTTAGTAAGTTAAAAAAAGTGTGAATTACATAATTTGTACTCCTCTATTTTGGGGTAAGTAGCGGCTTAGGGCATTGATTTATGTTTAAAATTGACTAATAAAACAGCCCTATGTCCGAAAACCATACCGTAATCATAAGGCTCAACAATTTGAGCAACCAGACTTTAACATAAATGTGGTAATTGAAGCTTACACTAGTGCTTGGCTCGTAACATGTAAGAAGTTATTTTTACATGCTTGCAAATCACAATTTAACACGTACACATTAATAACTTATTAAAGTGTAACAAAAAAATTACTACACACAAAGATTTCCTTCTAAAAGATGAGAAATTAGCACTATACTGTATGATAAAAGTCCGGTTCTTGTAAAAAGTGGTCCAACCATAAATTTTTCAAAACAGTTTTTATAAAAAAGAGAATTAAACAGACGAATGAACAAATAATTCACAATTACAAAGAGGGAGGAGAGTAAATTTAAAATACTCATCCCAAAACAATAATGTCCATATATATATGTATATAATGCGTAAATATACAAGCTAGTTGTACATGTACAAGTATACATAGATATGCATGACATACACGTATTTGTATTTGGCATATATACGCTTGCAAATGCATGCAATAAGTCACTATATATAGGGAGAATCTGTGAAATAATATTTAACTAAGAATTGTCAACCATAATTGGCGTCCTCAAGAAATAGTTCAGGCCAGTAGGATGAAGAATTACTACTTCTGCCTCCATAGCTAGAACTGCTGCAGCACGCATCTCCAGGAACATTGCTGGTTGGAGAAATAGAGGGAGGAATAGAGGGAGCAGTAGGAGATAAAAGATTATTAAACCATGGAGATTCATCGGGTAGGTTATTTTCTTGACTACTGACCATTTTAAAGTTGGAGCCCTGGCCCATTTCATGATCACTGTTATTCAAAGATGGTAGAGAACTGAAAGGGACTTGTGGGTCTGCTAGGTCATAAGGCAGTTGGGTTTGATGATGGTGGAGTGGTTGAGAAGAATTACGACCATATCCGTGATCAGAAAATGAGCTTGGATTTTCCAGTTGTGGTGAATTAAAATTTGGGTTTTCTTTGATGGGAGAAATATTAAGTGAGTTTAGCAAATTAAAAGCCTGATCATCCATTTCCATTTCCATCTCGGTGCTTCTGTTTTGCCTGTAATTGTCAGTGTTGCTTGTATAAGGTACGGATTGAAGTAAATGCTGCATGTATTGAAGCTTGGACAACTGAACTGCTTGATCTGCTTGTAATGTTGCAGCATGTTGATTAATGTGATCTGCGGGCTGATATTGCTGCATGAGATCCTGCAGGTTAGCTAGGGCTAAAAGCTGAGATAAGCTGGAAAATAGATCAGTTCTTGGCTGATGGGTCATTGGATCAAAACCCATCTGGATCAGCTTCTTCTTCAAATGTGTGTTCCAGAAGTTCTTGATTTCATTGTCCGTTCGGCCGTCTAAGTGTGTTGCAATTGCTGACCATCTTGTAATTAAGAAAAAACAAGTTTTAATATTTATGCAAACACACGCATATATATAGAAGGAACGGTTGAAAACTTTGATGTATTTAATCATGGAACCAAGAGAAGTAGAATAAAGCATTACTTGTTTCCAAGGATAGAATGGAGATGAAGAATTGTTTGCTCCTCTTCTTCAGAAAATTTGCCTCTTTTGATATCAGGTCTTAAGTAGTTCGTCCATCTTAGCCTGCAACTCTTGCCACATCTATTGAGACCTACAAAAGAGAAAATGATATTTAAAATGGGTTCATTTTTTCTCACTACCATCAAGTGGTGGTAATGCTCACTATTTATTTATCACCGTTGGATGACTTTAAAATTTTAAGATTTATATCTATCTACTACACAGATCTCGAGATTTAATTCATCTAATGGTGATAAATAGAGTGGTGAGCAAAAATATTCCCTTTTGAATTTGATAAAATCAACAAATCTTATCACCCAATATCATAAAAGAGATCCTGAACTCAAATCTCAATATAATGGTGGTGAGAGACGATGCATTCGCGTGTTATGGGTAGTAATAATGTTAGCTTAAGCTTTCGAGGATAGTCGTCATAAACTAACTATGTAATCAACAAATTAAGAGATGCTAATTATATATTATAAGCAAACCTGCAAGCCTTGGAAGAGCTCTCCAACTTCCATGGCCATGTTGTTCAATGTATTGCACAAGCTTTTGATCCTCTTCTGGAGTCCACGGTCCTTTCTTGAGACCACTTTCATCACTACAGGGAGATCTCCCCATTGTGTTTAATCAATTTCTGAATATGATCGTAATTTGCTTAATTAACTTGGTCAGCTACTCCCTTGATTCCCTGATGTTTCCTCAAAAAACTAGGGGTGCCTATTTATACACAAATTAACTAGAACATAGGCTGCTCTAATTTCGATAACTAAGTTTTTTAATGCCAAGCTGAAGAAAGAAACTTTCAAATCACAATGTCAACGTTGCAGGTCACCGCTTTGTAAAAAATCTAGACTCATGCACGCAAGAAGAGATCCTTTCGTACGTCATTGTTTGCATGGCTTCACAAACGACTTACTCTTACTACGTCTTAAATTTGAACTTTATAAGTGCTTATTCCTAACCTTGAGAATCTACGGTCTACTACTTATTATGAATAAGGTTCTTATCACAAAATGTTCTAGAAATTGACCCACGTATCAAAATGATTTTTGAAATTAAAAATTGATCAATGTAATCTTTAAAAAAATGGATGTTAAATCAATATAGTCATTCTGTCATAATTCTATAAAAACATTCTTATGTGTTGATGTGGGTTTAATAATCAATTAAAAAAGTTGTCAAAACACCTTTTTGCACAATGAGATTATCTCAAGGTAGAGCTCACCGTTCTCCCCAACACCAAGATCACCGAGGGAGCACCAAGATCTCCAAGATTAAGGTTGTGAGACTGTTGATCATCCAAATGTTGACAGTGGTGTCACAAAAATCGTCGCCAGTCCAAGCCGTCACCAAAGGTGGTCTCGATCATGTCCAATTACCTTGGTGAAATGTGTAAAGATGGGTGTCTTGAGAATATTTTTTAGAGAAGAGAGTACGAAGGCTACCATAGATGGAGGTAGAGCAGTGTGGGTTGAGATCAGAAGTGATTGCAGGACTTGGTTTCTGGGTTGACAACTTTTATATTTAATTATTAAATTATTAAACATACTTCTAATTTATTTTTAATTTAATTAAACTTATGGGATCCATTTATAGAATTGCGATGGAATGACCACATTGATTTGAGACAGTTATTTCTAGGATTACAGTGATTGATTTTCATTTTCAGAGACCATCTTGGGGGTCAATTTCATAGACCATTTCTAATTTAAAAAAAAAGACTTTTTCATAGACCATTTCTAATAAAAAAAAAAGACTTTAATTTGGGATCCATTTATGTGCCACATCAGCACATAACATAATTTTTTGACAAAATTGTGACGGAATGACCACATTGATTTGCAACACCTATTTTCAGGGACTACGTTGATCGATTTCAATTTCAGGATCTATCTTGACGGTGTGGGAAAATTTCATTGACCTAACCTTTATGAATATCATATATGTGTGGTAGAATGTACATTTAAGTATACTAGAGATTATGGATACCCGTATTTACAACCCAAAATGCAAAAGTACTTCAAAATAATATTCCCACATTTAGTATGTAAACACATAATTTGTTTGTATGTAAAGTTTATACGGAAATTCTCTCTTATCAGACTTGTGATAGATCTCTATATTGTACATATACTAAATTTATCACTATGTTATTATATTTCATTTGAATGTGTAGTTTAAGTTCACAATTTAAAAATATAATACATTAATTTGACATGTAAATTGAGGTATGTCAACTTAATTTACAATCTAACAATATATGTACGTGCATGTAAATTGAGGTATGTCAACTTAATTTACAATCTAACAATATATGTACGTGCATGTAAATTGAGGTATTTTAACTTAATTTACAATGAATGAGAAGACAATACGAGATTTCTCAGGTACCTTTGAACTTGGTGTTTTACTCTATCGCACCACTTCGATTTATATCCACTTAAAATTGTGAAAGTTACATATAATATTCATGAGTTCAACCTATATAAAAACCACCTGCCCTAGAAGTGGAAAAGGAAGACCAAATGTACACAATGTTCTCCATGTGTTTTAACCTCATTGATGATATGCCTATACAACAATCATAATATGGCACATGTCACTTATTTCTAACCTCTTCAGTTAAATCAATCACCTAATCTAAAGAACCTACAAAAGTCCATGAAAACCCTGTGTACCAATAGCAAATAAGAAAAATGCTACACAGACTATCTTTTTAAACCACATTTGTAAATTATATAATATGTCACTAATAAAAAACAAACATTTTCATCAAACACTTAAATAATAATTCAATTATTAACAATTACATGATATGATTTACAAAAATAATTTAAATAGATAATTTTCCTGGCATTACCCAACAAATACAAACTTACAAAATTATTGGTGTTGTTATTAGACACTTAGATATATTGTTAGAAAGAGACAGTAGAAGATTGCATACATGGGGCCCATTTGACTTGGAGGGTGGGGCAGTTAGAGGGGAATTAGTTGGTGCAGCAAATGCCCCAAATTTGCACCAGTTTTTCCTCTTTTGTTTCAGTGCAACACACAAACCATTCTCGACACGCTTGAGAACTCCTCCATGGCGTTTGTTGGTAGCAATTGTCCTCTTTCATCTTGTTTCTTATGCCTACTTTCCCTCGATGTTTCCTATATATTGGTATAACCTTCTGGTTTGAATCAACCACTAAAGTAAAAGGTTATCCTCTAGTACAAGCCAGTTTCTTTTGTTTTCTTTGGGTCAAAAATTAAAGGGAATTATTATTTTATTTTTTTGGCTAATAAAGGGAATTATTATTGATATTATAAAAATCTCAATTTTTTTTGTTCCAAACTTTCTATAATTAGAAAGAAAAATACACTTATGTGGAGTGTTAATAACAATTCCCAAATCAAATTCGTTAAACGTAAAATGAATGGTTATATGGGCCAACTCAAAGGAAGGAAGAAAATCTAAACCATTGGAAGAATCTAAACACAAAAGTCCACAATAAGCAAAAAGATAGAAAATAACATAACCCTAATTCAAGCCAGTGTCCTTTGCACGAAGGCAATGCAAAATGAAATATAATGCGCCAACAATTAAAAAAAACTGAGATATCAAGTTCGATAACTTTTTCACTAATTTCACATGTATAAAAAATATATAAATCAGATTTAAGGAGTTAGCTCTAGCTTCGTCTCTTTGATCTTAATGATCTTAATATCCATTATAATGGCGTATGTTGATGCACAAAATCATACAATGATGATAAACTAACAAAGAAACCATCACAAAATGTTACCTAGTGGCCACCATAACAGCCATATGGCAAAATGTCTCAATGCAATTGGGAGCGGAAATTTTCAATATAAGTTGTAATTTATTTTATCAAGTTTTCGATGTGGAATTTCCTTAGTCCCCAGTACAATTAGGAGCAGAATCATCAATATAAATTGTAATTTATTTTATAAAATTCGACTTACGTGAATAATGAGTTTGATACAGTCCTAGTCCTCAACCAGTGTTACTTGTCAGGTGACCAATTATCTGTAAATAAGGTTTTGAAGGATGATGAAAGTTGACTTCTTTTTAGTGATTGAGCCCGACCTTATTGTTATTAAGAATGTATCCTACAATAATGGGAGGAGCGATTTACATAGTTTCTTAGTAAGTTGGCTACTCCTCATATTACCAATTAATTCTGTGGTGGGATCTTAACTTCTTCATGATATCAAAACAAGTTATCCCACGTGTGAAGCCCAACGGTCACACATCCTCCGTGACACCATGTTTTTGTTGTTTATGTGTTAGGTTTGAAAAATGACCACACGTGAGATGACGTGTTGATAATGAATCTCACATTGATGAGAAGAGGGACCTTGTATAAGCTTATAAGTAAATTGAAATACTCTCTATATTACCAATTGATTTTATAATGGAACTTTAACTTCTTGATCCATAACTACCTATCTCTTTGCTGTCAATTTGACCAATTGTTTGCCTTCTGAAATGGGTTTCATGGCAGCAAAAATTTTACATCTAAATTTCGAACTTGGTCGACTGGGTCCTAAAATAATTGAGCCCAAATGGCCCAATTACTTTATTATCCCCCTTTAGCTCCAACAAGAACATCATCGCATGTTTGTTGATGAGCTTCTTAATGAATGCGATTCAGAATTAAGCTACTCTACATATGGTATTTGCTAATCTATGTGTTATCGACATGATCTTCACATAAGTTCACGTCAAAAAATAAAAAATAAAAAAATAAAAGATTCGTTCGTTAATGTTTATGGACTGTTTGGTAACTATTTTGTTTTGAACTTTTATTTTTATTTTTTTGAAAATTGAAAAAATTTAAAAAAAAATTTATAACTACTTTCAGTTTAAAAAATAAAAAAAATAAAAAACTAAAAATTATTTTCTGTTGTAGGCCTAATTTACTTAATTGTATTTAGGACTAGACAGGGAGAGGGTTGGCGGCAAGAGAGAGAGAGAGAGAGAGAAGAGAGAGATGTCATTCTGAGGTATGTGTTGTATCATCCCATTGTGCATTTATTTATAAGATTACAACTTTAATAGGATATTAACTACTAAAGGGAATATTCAAAGATATCCCTAGATACACTAGGATTTACACAATCACATTCTTAATCTAATAGGACTGCAACACTCATTCTTGAGTGTGTAAATATTCAAACAAAACATCGCATCAGATCTTCAGCATGTGAGGCATAATAGTTGATAAAGTCGTCAGCACAATAGGTGAAAGCGAGTCTCAAATTTAAAAGAAAGTATGCATGGGTAGTAAAACTCATAAAATCTTGCTATGGTAAAACCTAAGGTAGATAAAAACCCATAGAATAAGGAGAAAAGTGAGAAGTATGCATAATGTCTAAAACAAACGTCAAACATGATGAAAGTAGTGAACTCAACGGAGTATGATCATCCCAGGATGGGTGCCTCATCAAAACCTTGTTAGGTAGCAAAAACCCAGTGAGAAAAATGCTCATAATCAAAGGAAAAAGAGTACATTAAGATCAAGTGAGTATGCTTCAGGATACTCCTCCTGAGTTTGACATAACTTCCAAATAATAGAGTAGCAATTCAACTCAGATAATTTATGCATACCAATTCCTTGGATGAGCTTCTGAAAAGTAGACTTGGGCAATGACTTGGTGAAGATATTGGCCAGGTTGTCCTGGGAACAAATTTTCTTGACTACAATGTTCTGATGCTATTGTTGTT